AAGCAATTATTTTTAACTGATCGATTTCTTTGTCTCTTATCTTTAATATAATTTTCCGAAATGGTTCTTCCCAAGCGTACAGTTTTAAAACTTTCATGCCATTAAGAATTTCATTCATGAGTTTCACTCTGTTATCTTTATTCTTCATTTGCTGCACCTAAAATCATAAAAGTTTAAATTATATAATGAATTTTGGATTAACGCAGGTAAAATTACTAACTGCAAAAATTGCAGAAATTTTCTATTATCTGTTAAATTGAGATAAAAGATCTATAATAAATGTACTTTTAAATTTTTATAGAAACCTTTTGTTATATAACAAATTCATATGATAAAATATTAAGAATAGTACAGTATTGTAAAAATTTGTTTATAGTTATGCACCTAGTAGTGAAGAAACAAACAAATTGTAAAAATTGACATTGTCTATCAATAGATAAATTGATAATTAGTCATACAAGGTTAGTAAAGAATTTAGCAGACAGACATATTTTTTTTGACAAGGCTACGAAAAACTTGTGCAAACAAATGTTCAACATAACGTTTCTCAATCTTGTAGATAAATAGTTAAATTGATAGCCACCCGTCCATTGTTCTACATAATAAAATTCTGTTTATTTAAACAGATGAAACAAAAACAATGATTAAATAAAGTCACTTAATGCTAGGCTCTGTTAACCATGTGTTCATAATTAAACGCTTTTGGTATCCATCTCGCAGAAAGTTTAATCAGTCTTAAATGATCGCAGATAATTGATTGAGTTGAGCCATAACACATGCCTGTCTTTATAGTTATCTCATGTAAGGACACTCGATGATCTGCAATTATCAACTGAACTAATTCATCACTAACTTTTCACGATCTAGTGGTTTAGCTCTCATTTTTGTGTTCAATAGCTTGAGACTAAATTATTTATCTTCAAAGAGAATAAATAAAAATTATTCAGTTTTATCAAGCTTTCGATAATTCTAAAAAAGTTTTTATGCCCTACTTTGCAAATAATAACGTAGAAATCAGAGTTTCTGTTAAAAATTTTCAAACTATTAAAATACAACTTTAATTATTTTTGTCTTATATATTTTGTTAGTTAATAAGCTTATTTTTCATGGATCTGTGAAATGTATTTGCTATTTTATAGAATAATTGGAAAAATGTGAAACAAAATTAATTCAAACAGTTGATATGAGTATGCTTACATTCAACCCTAACAAAATGTAAAAAG